CATACATGCTTACAATGGGGTTTTACATTCACTTAAGAAAGTGTGTCACGTGGGAATAGGAGAATTGCCCTGGGTCTCCCTGGCCTTCTACTGCATTTCCAAGTTACTCAAAAAAGGGATGCCACACTGAATCTCTCCAGTTGATCTTAGAGGTTAAGACCCTCCACTTCCCATGATAGCCATTAACTCTGCCATTTTTATTTAGCTTTGCCATAAAATTCAGTTACATACCTTGGTGAAACATCCATGCTCTCATTTTGAATATGTCATAAATTTGTTTAAATGGTCTCATGAAGTCATGTTTCCTGAAGTTGTGTACAAGCCTTACTAGAAAATACTGTAATTTTTTTTAAAAAAAAGCAATTCCTTAACAGATGAAGGAAATCATCAAACTCAGATGGTAAAATATGAGATGAAAATTCATGATGCAAATAGTTGCAGAGGAGCTCATTTTGACAGAAATAAATGACAGAAACAGCAACTAAGTTAAGCCTCAGACCATGTTTTGTGACTGTAAGATTGAGGTCTGAATATCTCATTACAAGGTTCCTCGAAGACAGAACCGGAAACCCTGACCACTACAAAAAAAAGGAAAGAGAGAATAATGCTCAAGAGAGTGAAGTCAGGGACGGCTGCTCACGACTTCTGTGGGACTTACAGGACGTGTAGCATTCAGGTTTACTGAGTCGTAGGTGTCCAACAGGATTAGCATCCTATTTATCAAAAGAGGTTAGGATTTTGGCTGCAAGGAAAATATTGGAAAATGAAAGCAAATTAAAGGAATCTTCTAAGTCAAAATACTTGTTTGGTTTTATAAATACCCCAGTCCTTAATTCTTCCATTTGTACTATATTACATAATCTCTACTAAAACATAAAGGTATTTTAAATCATTAGAGTGAAGTGTTTTCCCCAGAATGTTTAAATTGTATATTGTCTTTTAGTTGCATATAAATCTTTTATTATCATAGTATCCTTGAGCTCATTTAGTTTGTATAATCAAAGCTAGTTAGGCATTTCACCTGACAGTAGAAAAAAATTTAAGTACCTTTGTAAGATCCATCATATCCTATATTCTTACACTGTGAATAATTCTTTGGATAACTTTAAAATAAAACAATATGGGGGCACCTGGGTGCCTCGATCAGTTAAGCTTCTGACTCTGGACTTTGGCTCAGGTCATTATCTCATGGTTTAAGCCCCAAATCAAGTCCCATGCTGACAGTGCAGAGCTTGCTTGGGATTATGTCTCTCCCTCTCTGCCTCTCCCCCACTTGTTCTCAAATAAAAATAAACTTAAAAAAATACCTCCAAAAAATAAAATAAAATATTGTTTACAGTTACATAAACGATACAGGTTATTAAGAGAATCATGTACAAAAATCACTTGCATAATTAACACAGGCCCTGTCAAACATCCAATCAGTTATTCATTCCTTCCTGATAATCTTGGGGGAATAGTCAAGGAGACTAAACACTTCTTATAGGGCTCTGTTTCAGCTGTCTAAATAAACCTATCTCTTGATCTGAAGGAAAAGGCAAGCTTAAACATGTGATATCTTTGTAATTTTTTTTATCATGTAGTTAAGTGTTTCCGCTTAATAACTATGGTATCCCATAATCCTTGGAAATTTTTGCCACTTACAAAATTTTATTTTAAATGTATCTAGACCCAATGTCAGCTTGTGTCTTTAGATTACAAGTAAATTTATATACTTATTTATTAAATATACAGTAATACTCATAAAAGCAAATGCAGTCCCTGAAAACTACTCCTACATATAGATAAAGCCTTTTATTGGAGAGATAATCAGTAAGAAAAGCACTAAAAGCAGTGCCATACCATTACCTGTAATAAATTGTGACTTTAGAGGGAAATCAATCAACTTGATAATTTCCTATTAAGAAATCACACTGAGAAAATATTTATAACGAAAATCCTAGTTTAGCCTTGTAGCTTTTGCTTAAAATATTAAAATTTCATTTTGAGAAGTGTTAAGTGACTTCTTTTTGTTTGCCAGACACAACAGTCAATGGTATAAGAAGTATTAAAAAAAAAAAAAAAAAAAAGATTTATTCACAGTCCCTGACCTCAAGGAGCTGATCACCTAGCCAGTGACACTTTTTTTTAATATTATTTTTATTTCTTAAAAAGCAATTGTATAAAATTATTACATAATTATTCAAATCATTCATAAACATTATGTGGTAATAGAAAAATTTTAAAATGTGAATCACAAACAAGGAAAATAAAGTCAAATGTAGTCCCACTACCCAGAAATAACCACTGTTAACATTTTATATGCATCTTTTCAGTTTGTTTTCTGTATATGCGTTGCCAAAATGTATTAACATAGGATGTTGCTTTAGAATCTGTTCCTTTTACCTAAGATGCACGTCATAAACATGTACCATCACTACATATTCTACTACTACATCATTATTAATGCCTAAAGAAATTTCAGTTGTAGAGATTCTACCATAATTTAGCCAATGAGCTTTTATTAGTATACTTTTAGGCTGGTTTTAATTTTTTTACCAGTATAAGCAAAAACTCAGTGAACATCTTGTATATATCCTTTTCCCATATCCAGATTACTTCCTCAGGATAAGTAAATAGAATTATGATTTCTGGGCCTCAGTATTTATTTGAAATGGAAAGACTATATTAATGTACATTGTCTTAATTAAGTCTTCCAGAAATGTTGCATCAAAATACTCTGACCATAGTGTGTACAAGTACTCGTTTTCCTGAACTTTGGCCAGCACTAGTTTTTTGCCAACTTAATAGCTGAAAATGGACTCCTCTTAATAATTTGCATTTTTAAAATTATTAACGACATAGACATTTTTTATACATTGTTGGCCAATGTTGTCCTTCTTTAGTAAATCTTTTCTTAATAGGTCTTCCATGTTTCCTATCAGTAAGTTAATTTTCCTCATCTATATTTATATTTATCTTCTGCACATTATTAAAGATATGTACATATCAGAGAGGTAAGTTTTTAAAGCAAATGCATAACCTTTCTTCGTGGTCTCAAATTTCCAACCAGCTGCACATGCCCAAGTAAATGTGGCACAGTTTCTATTGATTTGTACTAACTCACACAAGCAGCAGCAAAACACCTATGTAGCGTGAAGAATATAAAATAGTGGGCAAACTATTGCCCCTGCCTGTGAATACCATCTAACCCTGTGATAAAGCATCTGTGACATGGATGCTGTAGGACTTGGGTAGGGCTGCCATTAACAAATTACCACAAACTTGGTGGGCTTACAACAACAGAGATTTATTCTCTCACTGTTCTGGAGGCTAGAAGTCTGAAATCAAGATGTCGTCAGGGCTACACTGCCTACAGGGGCTCCAGGGGACAATCATTCCTGCCTCTTCTAGTTTCTGGCGGCTGTTGGCAATCCTTGGCATTCCTTGGTTTATACACCCAACCTGGCAATCTCTGCCTCCATCTTCACAGGCCTTCTCTTCTCTCAGGGTCACAAATCTCCTTTTCCTTTCTCTTATTAAGAAGCTAGTTATTGCAGGGGCACCTGGTGGCTTAGTCGATTAAGCGTCCGACTTCAGCTCAGGTCATGATCTCACGGTTCGTGGGTTCAAGCCCCGCTTGGGGCTCTGTGCTGAGCTCAGAACCCGGAGCCTGCTTCGGATTCTGTGGCTCCCTCTACCCCTTCCCTGCTTGCACTCTCAAAAATAAACTTTCTCTGTCAAAAATAAACAAACATTAAAAAAAAAATTTTAGGCTCACCCGAAATCCAGAACGATGGCATCCTAAGATCCCTAATTACATCTGCAAAGACCCTATTTTCAAATAACACCACATTCGCAGGTGTGGGGCCTAGGGGGCAACACCATTCAACTCACTACAGACGGTAAAAAATGCCCAAGATGTAAATCTTCCTTCCCCAGGTTACAGTTGTGCAGGGAGTAAAGTATGCCCAACTTGGACAGAAGCACCAATGCCAGGTTTTACCACCAAACATTTCAAGTCATTTCTCCATTTATTGTTTTTTAATTATAACCAAAGTGCAATCTCTTTTGCCCCCTTTTTGCCTTAAATTGCCCTACACCTGACATTGTCTTCTACTTGGCATCTCTATCTGCATCACCTTCACACTTACTCTCCTTCCCCAGGTATCACATATAAACTACTCATTGGATACTGTTCTATACTTTCTCTATGCTCACATAATTTACATACAAACACATAAACAAAAAATGTTTACATTACTAAGAGAGATCGTTGTATATAACTTTGCTTTTTTCAGAAATGTCTCCAAGTCAACTGAAACTGATCTCATTCATTATTTTCACGGTCACATAATATGCCTTTACAAGTTGTGATGTTGCTGTCCCCCTTGCTAGCCTGGTGCACCCATCCCTAAATGCTGTGAGTATCCTGGCCGCTGACGGCTTACATCTAACCCCTTCTCCAGGGAATTTCTCTAAACCCAAACAAGCCTTCCCAGGGAGATTATGCCTGGGAGATCACTATCTGACCCTGTCCTGTGTGTGTGTGTGTGTGTGTGTGTGTGTGTGTGTGGAGGGGGGAACGCTCAGCCAACAACTTTGTACACATATTCTTACCTAATTATGTTTTCCTTTATAAGAGTGAGGTCCTCAAGTGATTCTAATGAGTAAGGAGTTAGGTCACAAAAAAATGTACCATTTAATAAATACTGCCTAATTGTTTTCCAGAAAACTATAACAACTCACATTTCCACCATCAATGCAGGAGAGTATGATGTCCCGTAACCTCTTCTCCCGCTTAGTGTCTCTGTCTGTAACATGGTTACTGTTTTTCTCAATTTTAAAGTTCCTGATTATGAGTGAATTTGAGCATTTTAAAAATACATTACAACTTCTGTTTCTCATCCTACATGTGAGGAGCTTCAAAGTCACCACTACATCCTAATTAACGAGTAGAAAGCTGAACAAACTGCAAAATCAACAACCATTTTTTTTGGTGTAAATCTGTAAAACTGTACCTGTAAAAGGTAATCCTGATCACCAAATCCCAATGTGTGTGTGTCTAGTTGTGGGGAGGTTCCCACACCAACAGGCAATTCTCCAGACACCAGCTGCATGTCCTACAATTCAACTCAATCCTGACACGATCTACCTGGATAGCGTCAGATTCCAAAGGAGAAGGGTTCAGTTCTACATTACTGCCCCCCCCCCCCCCCCACCCACTCCACTTCAGATGCCATTTGCAAAACCAGGATATTACCTGTGCTTCAACCTACCAGCTACAGATCAGAGATTCCAATGATCCCTTCTTGGGTTCTTAATTTGCTACAGGGGATCTCCGAACTCAAAGAACTTACTAGGTCACGAGCTTATTATAAAAGTATAGAACTCAAGAACAGCTAGATGAAGGAGATGCATAGGGCAAGGTATAGGGAAAGAGCACAGAGTTTCCATGCCCTCTCAGACTGTACCACTATCCCCAAAGCCCTGTGCTCACTAACCCAGAAGTTCTCTAAACGCCATCCTATGGAGGCTTACTTACGGAGGCATGATTGATTAAGTCATTCACTAGAAGTGAATGATTCAACTTCCAGCTCCTTTGTGCAGTCTGGATGTCAGAGGGTGGTACTGAAAGTTCCACTCCTATATTCTTGGTTGGTTCCTTGGCAACCAGCTCCCATTCTTAGGTTCTGTCTAAGAATGTCATTAACATAACAAAAGACACCTTAGCTCTCACCACTTAGAAAATTCCAAGGGTTTTAGGAGCTCTGTGCCAGACCTGGGACAAAGATCAAATATATTTGTTATAAATCACCACTATCACAGTCCATTAGAAAAGTGAGGGCACAGGGCAAACAACTATCCGCAAAAGTGGAGACAAACAGATACAGAGAATCACAATTTATCAGAGCAGAAACTCACAATCAGTAACCATTGTGGAAACAACTACCAGCATGGGAGAACTGAAACTGTAATTAACGAATTGATGTCAGCTCCTTACGCACATGTCAAAAAGTAAGACCTCCAGGAGGACCAAGTCATAGGAGAGTCCTCATACTTTTGTGAGTTTTAAGCCCCACCCCATTCCAGAGCTCTAATAGGTACTTACATTGAATACTGAAGAAAAATCCCCTTGTGTTTCCAATAAGGGTAGACGAAAAGGAACCATGTGGAAATACACTAGAGAATTTTTTTTTCCCCTCAGGAGAAATTATTTTACCAACACCTTGCTAACTAACCTTAAAGATAAAACTCCTAGCGGCACCTGGCTGGCTCAGTCGGTAGACCATGAGACTCTTGATCTCAGGGTCAAGAGTTCAAGCTCCATGATGGCTGTAAAGATTACTTAAATAAATAAAACTTAAAAAAATAAAAATTAAAAAAAAAAAAGCCTGCCAGTTATTTTACCAGCAAATAAGTTTAGTTGGGAGTCGTGGAGAATTGCATTCTGGGACACAGAAGCTACAGTACAAAACAAGGCAAAACTACAGGCAACTCTGTAGAAAAAAGGAGAGGAATGGTCTTTTATAAATTAAGGGGGGGTGGGGAGTTACAAGGCTGTTATAAACAAAAAGTCCATTGGAGTAAACTGGGAGTTCAAAGTATAGTGGCTTTTCATTGGCTGTGCTGTTGCCAGGGCAGAAGAAGAACCTTTTTTTTCCGCTAAAATAGTATTGAATTGAAAGGTACATCTCTTCCTGTTGGATCTGCAATTGACAAATTGTGGCAGGATGCGAAAGCTCCCCCTGCTGGCCGCCTGACTCCATTCTAAACAAGGTTTCCTTTTATTAATTTTCAGTCTATTTTATCAACCTGCTAGGATTTTATGAGCCAAACCTACCTGAGGGAAGGGAATACCAACTCTAGCCCCCTCTACCTTTCCAAGTGGAGGAAGGTAAATACACACCTCCAGCCCCCTCCAGCAGTGGTGTCTCACCTAAGCGGTAAAAAAAAACTTGGAGGCATCCAAGATATCCTTCAGTAGAAGAGGTGATAAATAAACTGTAGTATATCCAGACAATGGAATATTGTTCAGTGGTAAAAAGAAATGAGCTTTCAAACCATGAAAAGACACGGAAGAAACTTAAATGAACACGACTAAGTGAAAAAAGCCAATCTGTAAAGGCTGTATACTATATGATTCCAATTGTATGACACTGTTGAAAAGGCAAACCTATGGCGACATGAGATTAGTGGTTGCTAGAGATTATGGGGAGGGATACATAGATGTTATGCCCAGAGTTCGTGATCCCCAAAGACCACTAGGGAGCCGAGTCTGATGCAAAAGCAAAAGAGCCTTTATTGGAGCTAGCTCGAGCTCAATCCCCTACCTGCACCAATGCAGCGGTGAGATACCAGGGAGACAGAGTGAGTTTCAAAAGCACAAAGGTTTTATAGGGGTCTAGGGGCAGTTGGTGAGGTAATGGCTGTGGCCTCAGCCAATTGGCTGGGGAAAGGTCGTGGCCTCGGCCGATTGGCTGGGGAAGGGTAGGAGTCCTGTTACGCAGGTCGCTGGGCGTGTTTTGATCAGGAGGTTTGAACAGGTGAGCGGGAGGTTACTCAAGGGGAGGAGGTGCGGTCTGAGGTTTCTGCAATTTTCTGGGAAAAGGGGTCATGTGGGGGACATAGTCACTCAAGGTGGAGAACACAGAACAAGATGGAGTCACCCGGCGTAGGCCCGCCCTTTCATAGACAAAGCACAGCGGATTTTAAAGCAGTGAAACTTCTTTTTAGGATACTGCACTGGTGTCTACATGTCATACATTTATCAAAACCCGTTTAAAAAAACAAATGTTCTAAAATTTTAATTGAGATAAGGCTAAATTATAAATTTATAAAGTTAGGTGGAGTGGTTACAAGGATATTCAATCATTTGCTTAATTTTGAAATCTTCATGTAGGCTTAGTAATTTAACAGTATAATCTTATAATTCTCTTGGGTTATGTCAGGGACTACACAATGTGCATATTTATTAAATCTCCCCGACAGTTTTGGTTAACTAGAAACATAGAGAAATGTGTTACATTTTACTTTTTATCAGTGTATCAGATATATTTATGGGTATGGAATAGGTGATTTCACTGCAAAGGAATTAAATAATCCCTGACATTAGGAAAAATGGGGCGCCTAGGTGGCTCAGTTGGTTAAGCGTTGGACTTCGGTTCAGGTCATGATCTTACAGTTCCTGGGTTCAAGCCCCGCATCTGGCTCTGCGCTGACAGGTTGGAGCCTGGAGCCCGCTTCTGATTCTGTGTCTCCCTCTCCCTCTGACTCTCCCTTGCTTGTTCTCTCTCTCTCTCTCTTTCTCTCTCTCTCTCTCTCAAAAATAAACATTTAAAAAATTATTTAAAAAAAAATTAGGAAAAATGCATTTAATCTGTGTCAACAAATAACTAACATTTGTTATAAATGGTGCTTAAAGTATTATCAAAACTACTATGTTGCATCTCTTTACTCTTATTAAAAATTTTGGGGGGCTGGGGGCGCCTGGGTGGCACAGTCGATTAAGCATCCGACTTCAGCCAGGTCACGATCTCGCGGTCTGGGAGTTCGAGCCCCGCGTCAGGCTCTGGGCTGATGGCTCAGAGCCTGGAGCCCGTTTCCGATTCTGCGTCTCCCTCTCTCTCTGCCCCTCCCCCGTTCATGCTCTGTCTCTCTCTGTCCCAAAAATAAATAAAAAATGTTGAAAAAAAATTAAAAAAAAAATTGGGGGGGCTGTAAGAAATGAATAAATATATGTGAAGTAAGTTTGAATCTATGTTATGATTATATAGGCAACTTGAAAAATCTTAGGTTACTCATCAAAACTAAAGAACTTCTAAAAACTAAAACAAAAATTTCTATCAGTTCCTCAAGATAAACTGTCAGCCATTCTTATTTATTTTACTTATGAATTTACTATGCATGAACATCTTATTCAATGAAGCTAGTCTTACATAATGATGAAGTATAATGGAAAATTTTATCTTTATATTTATGGTACGTGAAACCAAGATCTTTAAAACACAGATGATTTCAAGTCCTTGTTTAAATATTCTTTTTTGCTTTTAACTGAGCATTGTAAGAAATATCTACTTCATCATTTTTTATTATAAATCAAATCCTGATTATCTGCATGGATGAATCTGTCCTCATATTTGAATCCTTTCTGTGGCACAAAAACAGACACATAGACCAATGGAATAGAATAGAAACCCCAGAACTAGACCCACAAACGTATGGCCAACTCATCTTTGACAAAGCAGGAAAGAACATCCAATGGAAAAAAGACAGTCTCTTTAACAAATGGTGCTGGGAGAACTGGACAGCAACATGCAGAAGGTTGAAACTAGACCACTTTCTCACACCATTCACAAAAATAAACTCAAAATGGATCAAGGACCTGAATGTGAGACAGGAAACCATCAAAACCTTAGAGGAGAAAGCAGGAAAAGACCTCTCTGACCTCAGCCGTAGCAATCTCTTACTCGACACATCCCCAAAGGCAAGGGAATTAAAAGCAAAAGTGAATTACTGGGACCTTATGAAGATCAAAAGCTTCTGCACAGCAAAGGAAACAACCAACAAAACTAAAAGGCAACCAACGGAATGGGAAAAGATATTTGCAAATGACATGTCGGACAAAGGGCTAGTATCCAAAATCGATAAAGAGCTCACCAAACTCCACACCCGAAAAGCAAATAACCCAGTGAAGAAATGGGCAGAAAACATGAATAGACACTTCTCTAAAGAAGACATCCGGATGGCCAACAGGCACATGAAAAGATGTTCAGCGTCGCTCCTTATCAGGGAAACAAATCAAAACCACACTCAGGTATCACCGCACGCCAGTCAGAGTGGCCAAAATGAACAAATCAGGAGACTATAGATGCTGGAGAGGATGTGGAGAAACGGGAACCCTCTTGCACTGTTGGTGGGAATGCAAATTGGTGCAGCCGCTCTGGAAAGCAGTGTGGAGGTTCCTCAGAAAATTAAAAATAGACCTACCCTATGACCCAGCAATAGCACTGCTAGGAATTTATCCAAGGGACACAGGAGTACTGATGCAGAGGGGCACTTGTACCCCAATGTTCATAGCAGCACTCTCAACAATAGCCAAATTATGGAAAGAGCCTAAATGTCCATCAACTGATGAATGGATAAAGAAATTGTGGTTTATATACACTATGGAATACTACGTGGCAATGAGAAAAAATGAAATATGGCCTTTTGTAGCAACGTGGATGGAACTGGAGAGTGTGATGCTAAGTGAAATAAGCCATACAGAGAAAGACAGATACCATATGGTTTCACTCTTATGTGGATCCTGAGAAACTCAACAGGAACCCATGGGGGAGGGGAAGGAAAAAAAAAAAAAAAAAAGAGGTTAGAGTGGGAGAGAGCCAAAGCATAAGAGACTGTTGAGAACTGAGAGCAAACTGAGGGTTGATGGGGGGTGGGAGGGAGGAGAGGGTGGGTGATGGGTATTGAGGAGGGCACCTTTTGGGATGAGCACTGGGTGTTGTATGGAAACCAATTTGACAATAAATTTCATATATAAATAAATAAAATAAATAAATAAATAAATAAATAAATATTAATTAAATATGAATATAATTAAATAAATATTAATATACTCATTTCAAAAAAAAATGAATCCTTTCTGGTTTTCATTGTAATGCACTGATGTCAATATTGGGACTTTCCTGTGGAAACAATTTCAAAATGTGAAATTAAACATAAAGCACTTGCAGTTGGTTTTCTGGCCCATGATCCTTTCTTACTTAGAACCAGATTAAGTTTCTCCTCACTCACTGAATGAAGAGCTATTGATTGCTGGCCATTTCAAG